GTCTGATAAACGAAAAGGGGAGGAACCACAAAAAGCGGCTGGTGCCATTGCCTCACTAACAGAGCAAAAATCGAGCAAATTTTCTTAGGTCCGATTTTTGAACGAAAAATCGCTCGAAAATCAACCCATGTATAGCCGGCTTTACCAACCATTTGAACAGATGGACCTAATAAAGTGGTCAGTGAGTGAATACCAATGCTCTCTTCCTATGGGGCACAGCGCCTGAGAATGATCATTTATTGATACCTCTTCTAGGTTAGAGTCGGTCCGGAGCCATAAATATCATGCAAGTCTATGTCAGTAACAGAGCGGTTAGGACTAGGAACGCACACCTGTGCACACAGCTAGTTCTAGAATAATACACTAAACATTATCCCCCGGGTGTGTATGAATCCCCAGTGTCCTCACCTCTGCTGTAGCCATCAGGAGCTTGGAGCCGATGCCTTTACCTGCCAGAGACAAGAGGGGTCAGTATAAGGAGAAGATGCACCATGCGGAGACAAGAGGGGTCAGTAGAGGGAGGAGACGCGCCATGCAGAGACAAGGGGTCAGTATAAGGAGGAGACGCGCCATGCAGAGACAAGAGGGGTCAGTATAAGGAGAAGATGCACCATGCGGAGACAAGAGGGGTCAGTATAAGGAGAAGATGCACCATGCAGAGACAAGAGGGGTCAGTATAGGGAGGAGATGCGCCATGCAGAGACAAGAGGGGTCAGTATAGGGAGGAGACGCGCCATGCGGAGACAAGAGGGGTCAGTATAGGGAGGAGACGCGCCATGCGGAGACAAGATACCCCCAAATGTCAGGACAGTACAAATCCCCCCAAACGTCAGGACAATACACATCCCACTGGGGACACTGACAGATGTTGATGCTCTACTAAGGACACTGACAGATGTTGACAGGCTTCTAAGGGCACCAACAGATGTTAACGGTCCACTAGGGACACCGACAGATGTTGACGGTCCACTAGGGGCACTGACGGATGTTGACGGTCCACTAGGGGCACCGATGGATGTTGACGGTCCACTAGGGACACCGATGGATGTTGACGGTCCACTAGGGACACCAACGGATGTTGATGGTCCACTAGGGACACTGACAGATGTTGATGTTGCAATGGGACACTACTGCAGATGTTGATGGGACACTATTACAATGTGACAGAAGTTGATGGGACGATGGCACACTGACAGATGGTTTTGCTGCACTAGTACACTGTGACAGATGTTGATGGTCCAATAGGGACACTATTGCAGATGTTGATGGGACACTGGTACAATGTCACAGAAGTTGATGGGACGCTGGCACACTGACAGATTATTTTGGTGCACTAGTACACTGTGACAGATGTTGATGGTCCACTAGCCACACTAACAGATGCTGATGTTGCAATGGGACATTATTGCAGATGTTAATGGGACACTGGTGCACTGGGACAGATGCTTTTGTGCACTGGTATACTGTGACAGATGTGTTTGTGCAGTGGTACACTGGTGCACATGTTGATGGGACACTGGTACAGATGTTGATGTGCACTTGGATAAGGGACATATCGTGCTTGGTGAACTGGTGCGGAATGGCTGCACTCTGTACAGCCGAAAAGTAAAATCATAAAAATTACATTGTGTGATGGCTGTGATTGGAAACATCCATCACATGATCAGGAGGGCAAATCAGAGAGCTCATGTCCCGATCTGTGATGCGCTGTGTCTGAGGGACACAGCCATCGTGGGATTGTCCCACTGCGTGGCCCTGAGGCCACCTAGCAGGCCAGAATCTGACAGGACATACATGTATGTTCTGTCAGGACGGAGCTTGCCCCACCCAGTCATATATGTACTCCTTCAGACCTCCAAAGTAGACAAATGTTCTGGTGTAGTAAAATACAGAACTTATGGAACACAAGAAGACCTGTCTGTCCACCATTTTTACATGACACTGTGACATCATAGATTGTGGTGACTGTAAGAGGTAAATCGGGAAGGATGATCACGTAATCTGGTTGGCGCTCCTCCCCCCCCATCATAGATCCAATATACTCCACCTCTGTACTGCAGCATGACAAAGAGGTCCTCCAGGTATAGTGCTCGCCCCTTAAACGTGTTGTAGATGTAGTGAGACACGGCGTAACCCACCAACCGTGGCCCTGAAGACATAAGAATGGACCCAGTTTATATTTCATAGCCTGTGAATGAGTATTTTTCATGGAAGAGAACTTGTAAAAAATAAATTAAAAAATGACTATTATTCCAATTACCTTTTTTATATTTGATAGAAGAGACTTTGTAAGCACATATATATATAACCCGACCAGAGCCAGTGAACGGAGAGCCAAGTCTGCCGCAATCTACAAGCATGTTGTGTCTGTTTCATGACACCAACACCCAAAGCCCACTAGACACTCCATAGCTCCATTCTTCACTTTATAGCCCACCATTAATTTCAAAGGACATTTTTAATTTAATTACAATATTATTTACTGGAAAAAAAATACATTTAATCCAATTTTGTACATTTTTTAAGCTGTTCTGGACAATTCATTGACACACTTTTTACCATCTGATAAAAAAATCCAGACAGATATTTTGTAGATGGATCACGCCAAAAATCTGGACTTTTTGGTCTGAGAATTCTGAAGATAATTGTCAGTCCCTGAACTGGACATGATAAATCGCTGTCAATGGGGAGATGTTGAAAGTCGCTTGTCTTTCTGAAGTCGCTCATCTATTTGAAGTCCAAGTAAATCAGGAACCTGCAAGAGTTTGATCTTAGGGGTTGGCTGATTAAGCTGTCGGTGAAATAATCACCTATACTTGTAGTCTTTGTATGAAAATGAATTTACTTGATAACATGTGGAGAAGAACCCCCAGGGATTCCATTTTTTGGGGTCATATGTCTGTAAAGGGGACCTGTCAACGCTTTACAAATAAAAGTATTAAAATAAGCATTTGGAAATGTACAAAACAAAAATCTGGTTTTAAACAAGGTTTGTAGAAAGGGAATTTGGGAGCTACAAGATGGAGGAAGGAGGAGAGGGGAGGAGCTATGGGATGGAGAACAAAGGTGAGGGGAGGAGCTATGGGGTAGAGAACAGGGGTGAGGTGCTATGGGATGGAGAACAGAGGTGAGGTGGGGAGCGATGGTAAGGAGAACAGAGGTAAGGTGGGGAGCTATGGGATAGAGAACAGAGGTGAGGTGGGGAGCTATGGAATGGAGAACAGAAGTGAGGTGGGAGCTATGGGATGGAAAACACAGGTGAAGTGAGGAGCTATGGGATGGAAAACAGAGGTGAAGTGAGGAGCTATGGGATGGAGAACAGAGGTGAAGTGAGGAGCTATGGGATGGAGAACAGAGGTGAGGAGAGGAGCTATGGGATGGAGAACACAGGTGAAGTGAGGATCTATGGGATGGAGAACCGAGGTAATGTGAGGAGCTATGGGATGGAGAACAGAGGTAATGTGAGGAGATATGGGATGGAGAACAAAGGTGAAGTGAGGAGCTATGGTATAAAGAACAGAAGTGAGGTGAGGAGCTACGCAATGAAGAACAGAGGCAAGGGGAGGTGCTATGGGCTGGAGAACAGAGGTGAGGGGAGTATCTATGGGAAGGAGAAAAGTGGTGAGGGGAGGATCTATGTCATGGAGAACAGAGGTGAGGTGGGGAGCTATGGCATGGAAAACAGAGGTGAGGTGGGGAGCTATGGCATGGAAAACAGAGGTGTGGTGGGGAGCTATGGCTTGGAGAGCAGAGGTGAGGGGAGGAGATATTGGATGGAGAATAAAAGCGAGAGGAGGAGATATGCGGTGGAGAACAGAGGTGAGGTGAGGTGAGGTGCTATGGGGTGGAGAACAGAGGTGAGGTTGGGAGCTATGGGATGGAGAACAGAGGTGAGGTGGGGAGCTATGGATGGAGAACAGAGGTGAGGTGGGAAGCTAAGGGATGGAGAACCGAGGTAATGTGAGAAGCTATGGGATGGAGAACACAGGTGAAGTGAGGAGCTATGGGATGGAGAACACAGGTGAAGTGAGGAGCTATAGTATAAAGAACAGAGGTGGGGAGCTATGGAATTGAGAACAGTTGAGGAGAGGAGCTATATGATGGAGAACAAAGGTAATGGGAGAAGCTATAGGGTGGAGAACGGAAGTGAGTTGAGGTGAGGAGCTAGAGTATGGAGAACAGAGGTGAGGTGGGGAGCTGTGGGATGGAGAACAGAGGTGAGGTGGGGAGCTATGGATGGAGAACAGAGGTGAGGTGGGGAGCTATGGATGGAGAACAGAGGTGAGGTGAGCAGCTATGGGATGGAGAATAGAGGTGAGGAGTTGTGGGATGGAGAACAGAGGTGAGGTGAGGTGAGGAGCTATGCGATGGAGAACAGAGGTGAGGGGACAAGCTATCTTATGGAAAATAGAGGTGAAGGAAGGAGCTATCTGATGGAAACCAAAGGTGACATGAAGAGCTATGGGATGGAGAACAGAGGTGAGGTGGGGAGCTATGGAATGAAGAACAGAGGTGAGGTGAGGTGGGGAGCTATGGAATGAAGAACAGAGGTGAGCTGAGGTGGGGAACTATGGAATGAAGAACAGAGGTGAGCTGAGGTGGGGAGCTATGGAATGAAGAACAGAGGTGAGCTGAGGTGGGGAGCTATGGAATGAAGAACAGAGGTGAGCTGAGGTGGGGAGCTATGGAATGGAGAACAGAGGTGAGGGAGGAGCTATGGAATGGAGAACAGAGGTGAGGTGAGGTGGGGAGCTATGGAATGGAGAGCAGAGGTGAGGTGAGGTGGGGAGCTATGGAATGGAGAACAGTGGTGAGGGAGGAGCTATGGAATGGAGAACAGAGGTGAGGTGAGGTGAGAAGCTATGGGATGGAGAACACAGGTGAGGTGGGGAGCTATGGGATGGAGAACACAGGTGAGGTGGGGAGCTATGTGTAACAGAACCGGACCCCGACTGAACTTGGTTACTTCTGTTAGGATACCGCTTCCCAGTCCGAACGCCATCCACGGACACCACCACTGACCATACAAGACTAATAAGACAAGTCTTAAAATAAATCAGGAAATAGACCCCTTTATTTTAACACAGATACAAGATATATACATGCAAGAGAACAATTCCCCCCTCCCTGCATAATGACACAGGGCGGGGCAAACCAAATCTAGCAACAAAAGACACATCAGCAGTCACCCCCCATCAAGCCAATACACAAACACATATATCCCATAATAGTTTGCTCCCAAGCAAGAAACAATAGAACAATGGGATACAACCACATGTCATCAAACAATGAACAACCCCCACACCACCTATACATGTCTACACAATATCAGGACATATCACCCTGTACCCCTAACAGGCACAGGGTGACTTACACATAATAGGGATATGGAGAGCTGAGACAGGGGTCTCCCCACCTCTCTAAAGTGAGCTGTGTTCCATGGGCCCCCACCCAAAGTGACTCCCATCACATATCTCCACTTTTGGCAGGAGAGTAACGCAGGAGGACACCCCAGACGGGTGGACTCTGAAGTTAGTCTGTACTTCCAGTCCCCAATGCCGGCACCCACACAGTTCCCCAAACAAATTGTCCCACACAAAGCACTACTCACCCACCCAACCTCTGCCTCTCTCGTAGAACATACCCGCTGCTGGGGAGAAGTACGGACTGGTCCTTCTCCCTGAAGTCCTCTCAGCCGCTGGAGAAAAGACAGGGTGGCTGGGCTGACTCCATCATGCTGCTGGGGATCCAGGTGGGTACTGTAGTCTCATCCACTTTGACTTTATGGACATCCCCCAGTGTTTGCAAAGTAAGGCTGACATCCTCCTGTCCCAATGCCAGACCCTTTTCTGGGGTTGTGTCAGTGGAGACCGAAGTCCCATCCATAGACATCAGCTCAAGCTGCCGTTGTGAGGTGCCGATTGCATCCTCTTCCTGTAGCTCCTGCAGTGCTGATTGTTGTGGGCAAAGGTCAACCATGCCATGCCCTGATGCCAGCTCGTCTGCTGGAGGCGCGACGGCTGGTTCCTCCTCAGCAAAGAAGTCAATCAAATCCCCAGTCTCTGGAACTGGTGTCTGGGGATAGGGGTTCACCATCTCCTGTCTGTGGAACTCAGAAGATGTTACCAGTGCTGGGCAGAGTTCAGCAATGTTGGCCCTGTTACCAGCTCTTCTGCTGGAGGCTCACCAGGTTATTTTTCCTCAGCAGAGAAGTCTACAAAATCCCCAGTCTCTGGAATTTCCACTGCCGATTCCACTGTTCAACAGGTAAAAAGTTTTGGGCATAAAATTAGCTAATCTTACATAATTATGGGGTGCTGAAAACGAAAATGACCCTAAAAAATGTTGATTGGCTCTAGTTTCCATGATATATTCACCCATCTAATGACGTAAGCCATTCAAAATTATGATACAACTTCAGCTGCATATTGCGCAATTGATACTGGTGACCAATAGAAAATGTCATGTATACTGAGATGATGCAATATTAGCCTTTAATTGCATCACTTCACTGCATAAAAGCTGCAGTATCTGTAGCTGATTGGAGTTCGTCTTTACATTTCGTTTTCTGCTTATATAGGCTACTCAGTAATGCCTCGAACTTGTGTGAATAAAGCAGATAATTTCTGCTATATCTGCAGTGAAATAACTTTTATCTCACAAAAAAGGAGGATAACAGGAATGATTAAGAAAGCCTACAACTTGTATTTTGGCTGCAAGATAGGAGACCAGGACAAGAGCTGGGCACCACATATATGCTGCAATTCTTGTGGGACGGCACTGGAGCAATGGTTGAATGGAAAAAAGGCATCTATGCCTTTCGCTGTGCCAATGATTTGGAGAGAGCCAACAGATCATGTTAGTAATTGTTACTTTTGTATGGTGCCTCCAATTGTAAAAGGGCTAAATAAGAAGAAAAAGTTATCTGTGCACTATCCAAATATTCCATCGGCAATACGTCCAGTTCCTCATGGAGAGGGGCTACCAATTCCTAAAGCACCAGAATCCTTCGTGGTTGAGTCAAGTGAGGAAGAACCTGAAGCGTGTCGTCACGTGCAGTTGTTAGAGATAGCCCTTTCCTCGAATACAAGAGAAAAGCCAAGAGAAGCAAAACCGACACAAACTGAAGACAAAACTAGTGAGAATCCTAAGTATTAAAATGATTCAACTTAGCTTATGGCTATCATTTTTCTTGGTAATCCTATGCAATATATTATGCCATTTAGGCTTTGTTATGTAGTCATATCACTTGCTTTATATTTGTGGAAAGACATCTATCTATATAATTATTGTGCATTATGTAGTCATTACGCCTATAGTAGAAAACTTTCCGTTTACAGAAAAACTAGAGCCAATTGACAAATTTCATTGTTATATTTGAACTCAGAATGTGAAATTCATTAAGAAATTGATCCTTTTGTTTCCAAAACTGGCAAAAAATAAAAATTTGTTGAACAGTGTTCTTGGGCATGCTGCTGAACATGTTTTATCAGTTGCTTGTATGCCCTTTCCAGATGCAGTTCTTTCATCAGCAGGTATTCCAGATCTGGTTCAAGCTCTGAGACCCCTGTGAGATCGAACATAGCCTCTCTGTCTTCTTGCAAGTCCTCAAGGGTAGGTTCTCCTTCATCGCCAAATGCAAAAAGATCTGTAAGGCTCTCCCACAGCAATCCAGGGCCACCAAAGTCATATCCCTCCAGAGAGCATTCTGTTGTCACCCCTAAATATTCCTGCTCTGCATACCATTGCAGAGCCCAATATCTGTTGTCCAGCTCTATCTCCTGCTGGACCAGTCTGTCCAACTCAGTCACCCATTGCTCCCGGGTCGCTCTCCCAGATATAGCATCCGTAACTTCCGATGGTCCCTGGCCCGTTCCCTGGGGTTGGATAGCACTTGCCCTCGTACATACCAGCAACCTGGAGGGCTCCTCTCCAAAGTACCTCCCAAATCCGCTGCCTGAGCTCCAGGTACTCATCCGCAGACACAGTCCTGGGGTATGCTGCAAGAACAATCCGCAGCAGCCCTGGGAGCTCTGATGCCAGGTCCATATCTCCACTGGGGTGACCGACTTCTCCTTTCCTGATCTTGAATCCCGGTGGTGGTTTAGATGTGTTCAGAGCCAGGAAGCACAATCCCACTATTGCCACCAATGTAACGGAACCGGACACCGACTGCACTTGACCGAGCGTTTAAAGGCTCTAACATACAATACTATCTAATCTCTCTGGAGATATGAGCCCGAGCTTAAATACACAGAAGTTACTTATTAATTTTAAGATTTAATATCCTGAAAGTGGGCAGTGCATAATGTACAAAGTATAAAAAGTTACAGAAAATATAAAAAATACAAGAAGACACACAATTGACTATTCACTATAGAATAAAAGGGAATAAAAAACAGAGATAAAACTTTTACCAAGATTTATCCTGCGACTGGAGCAAGTCAGAGAGTCCGTAATCCGTTAGTTGATCGAACCAGCTCCATATGAATCACAAATGTCCAAATGTCAGGGTCCTCAATTTATGGGGATATGGACGTAGGCGGGACATTAGTTCTTGGCCAATTGACTCTGGGGGGTGTTCCTGTATGAGCCCACAGGCTGTTCTGGGTGCTGAAATGCCCAAAGTCAATTGGACCAAGACCGATTTGAATCACGAAGTCGGGGATTGAATTTCCGACACCAGCGCATCAGTCCGATCGCGACAGTACCAATCACTGTTCCGCTATCGCACTCCAGCACCACCTAACCATTTCCTGCATTTTCCTGGCATTCTATATAGGCCACAAATATAGTTTTTATATGCCGATGTAGCTGATAGAGTGCCCAATCAGAAGGAAGTATTTTCATCTCTGCAAATAGCTTGTATGAGGGATGAAACATACTCCTTTGAAGTATGTATATACATTTAGAGCTCCCTAGACAGATCGGAGCCCCCCTGGTGTCATGAAGCCAAAACGTCTGCGTTCCTCTTTTAAGCTTCAGGAAGATGGCAGAGTCTGATTACATACAGGTGACAAAATATTATTAGCACCCAGGCGTCACTTCCAGCCTGAGGAAGCTCTGTCTCTTTTCAGATGCTAATGGATGACCATCTGTCTCTGAGTACCTATGACTGAATATTTTTTTTAATAACAAGGACTGAAACTACATTTATGATTACATATTGCTACAGGTCACATTTCAGCTACTCACATCTGTACATTTATGTCACACCACCGCTGACCATACAAGACTAAATGAGGCCAGTCTTGAAATAAATCAGGAAATAGACTCCTTTATTTTAACACAGATACAAGATATATACATTCAAGAGAACAATTCCCCCTCCCTGCATAATAACACAGGTCGTAGCAAACCACATCTAGCAACAAGAGACACACAGCAGACACCCCCCCGCCAAGCCAATACACAAACACATACATCCCATAATAGTTTGCTCCCAAGCAAGACACACAATAGAACAATCGGATACAACCACATGGCATCAAACAATGAACAACCCCCCCACCCCACCTATACATGTCTACAACCCAACCCCCAAACACCCCCAACACCCCCCCACCAACCCCCAACCAAACAACCACCCCCACACCCCCCAAACCAAAAACCACCCAACCAACCCCACCCCAAAAAAACCAAACAAAACCCCAAAAACCCCCCCCCCCCAAACACATCCCCCAACCCAACCCAAACCCCCCAACCCAAAAAAACCAAAACCACTAAACCCCCACCCCAAAAACACCCCCCCAAACCACCTACCCCCCCCCCCCCCAAAACCCCCCACAAACCCCAAACCAAACCACCCCAACACACCCACCGCGCCATTACAATTACCGCTATCTATTTATTTTATCAAACGGGAATTACCCAAGAAACCCCGAACAGCAACGACGTACCCACACCCAACCACCCACCTCTCTCCTCTGATGCGTCTCTACAAATCTCATAACTCCCTAACCACCACCTTCCCACCACCACACCGCCCCCACCCCAACCCCTACAAACCACAAAAACCTCAACAACAAACCAACCCCAAACCCCCTAAACAATAAAATCGTATCCAACCCCACCGCCAAAGAACCACCCCAACCCTCCCACCACCCCCCCCACTTCCCCACCTATACATGTCGACATATATCAGGAACATAACATATTTCAAATTAACACACACACACATATTACAATTCTTATTATAATAAATTCTAAATGAAACTTATTTTTATTTTATTATTACTAACCATAATATATTTTTATTTAATTAACACACAACACTATTTTTAATTAAAAAGTTTTAATATAATAGACGCAAATAACAAATTTTTATCACCACTGCACCCCTAACCGCGCACAGG